TCTCTCTCACTCTCTCTCTCCCTCCCCTCTCTCTCTCCCCCTCCCTCCCTCCCTCCCTCTTTTCCTCCCTTCTTCCAAAAACTTTTCCTACTCCTAATCTCCATGTTTCTTAGCATTCACTCTTCAGTTGTGGGAAACACAAACTCCGCATAACTGACTCCCAGGGGGCAGGAGTTACACCTTTTCTCTCTGTCAGTTGTGTTGTGAAGACCGAGCCCCGCACTCAGGACCTCCCCACTCATGCTCTCTGTCCATCCAAACCTCCTTCTCCATTAAGTTCTGCCCACCCCCTCCCTTGAAGCACACGCCACATGAGTCCAGCCATGCGCTGCTGTCATCTACAGCCACAGAAGCCACAACAGTGCACACAACCTCCTCGGGCACAAAACTCCCTTTCTCTCCTCATTCACACAGCACCAGCCTGTAAGGTGTCATGCAAGCCTCAAAACTCCAAGGTCTTGCCAGCCTAGTGCACTTGACACACGTGGGCTTCTTCCTCCCTTGCCGAGCACCGACCTTCAGAATCAGCCCTGGGGGCTGCTGCTCTCTCCGGGCACCTGGGTGGACAGCTCGTCTTCCTCACCAGGCACCTCGCAGAGATGTGGCTCTCTCCTAGCACTCCCCCACCTCCCGAAGCCCAGGATAGAAGTATCGTCTCTGCGCAGCATCCCCCGCTCCCCACATCCTCCCTCAGCCTCTCCTGCTCACAGGCTCTTACCTTTCTTCCCGCACCCGAGGACTCAGGAACCTGCTTGAGTCATCATCGTGGCTGCTCTGCTGGCTGCTCTGCTGACTGCTGAGGAAAGACACAGGACAGAGCCGTTAGTGCTCAGCTTCTTTCCCAACCCTGGGGAGGCTGCTTAGACCTCAACTAGACAAAAAAATAAGGTTACAAAACCAAGTAAGGCCGTAAGTTCCTCCGTGTAATCTGGGCAGAGTACAATTTCACACAAGGCCATGAAAAACGACACAAACCTTGTGCAAGTACAGCCCACTATGCCCAAGAGCCATCTACTGCTTCGCAGACCAGAGAAGGAAGGCTGAGGCCTGCTGGCCTTTTCTACCCCGACCATTGGCACCTCCAAGGGCCGGCGTGCCAAGCCTCTACCTGGCCTGCTGACCCTCCCTGAAGGCACAGTGACCCACTCTCCGCATCCTGCAGAGGAACTAGTGTGGAGTTGGGAAGAGGGACTGGCAGGGTGTGGAGGGAGGGAGGATTCCAGAAGGCAAAGACCAGGTGGGGTCGGGACCAGCTGGTTGGCTTAGGGCCTGCAGACAGCACTGAGGAAAGGGAGGGAACAAGAGCAGGAATGAGGGGCGGAACCCTGCAGGTGAGACTAGACAGGGCCTTTGTTCAGGATCGCAGCTCTTAAAAGACTCCAGGACGTAGGATGGGAATGTGGAATATGGCTGCCTTTCACGTGAGCCCAGAGAAACAAAGCAGGCCACACTCTTCCTGACACAGCCTATATAATGGATGAACAAATCGTTCTCAGTAATTAATAATTATTAGCAGCTCCTGGCATCTAACATAGGTCAGAAAACTACAGCCATCTCTCCTCTTCCAACCTTCCCATCCCCCGTCCCCCAAAATCTGGAGCCATCTGGTTTTGCACAAACTCCAAGAGCCAGGACTGTTTCGTGGTTTTCTGGTCCACCTTCTCCCCTTGCTATAGATCCACAGACCCAGGGCCTGGTACGTGCTTGGCAGGACCCAGAAGTTGCGCTAGGTAACCAGCTCTAGGAATGGCTTGGAAGGGCAGGCCAAATTGCTCTGTGGATTAAAGTGCCTGCAAGCAGGTTCAGGGGCTGGCCCCGCCCCCGCAGCATGATGAGACTGTAACTGAGACTGGGTGTGGTACGCACGCCTGTAATCGCAGCTCTTGGGAGGCTATAAACTGGGGGATCACTACAAGTCCTGTCTAGTAGTGAGACCCTGAATACCTTGTAGACTGTTCCCTAAAAATACAAAAATAATACTACTACTACCAATAATAATAATAAATAGATGGCTTGGGAAATTGAAAATGGTCAGCAGGAAAAACCAAAATAAAAGTATTTCATGACATGAAAATGATCCGAAACTCAAATTTCCTCATCCAAAAATCACATTTTCTTGGTGCACAGCGGCCCTCACCACCCTGACTCAAGCTCAGTGGCTGAGGCAGAGCTGAGGCAGGTGACGCTGCGGAGGTTCTGCGAGGCCCTAAAGCTTGCAACCTTCACCAAGTGGCCTCTGACAAACATAGTTGCCAGCCACTAAAAATAGACTATTAATAATAAATCTGGGCTGGGGAGATGGCTCAGTGGAATAAGTGCTTGCCTGGCAAGCTCAGGGGCCTGAGTTCAATCCCCAGTCTCACACACACACACACACAAAAATCATAATAATAAATCCTTATTATGAAAAACAATAAGGGTTTTGTGAAAACCCACTAAGTTGTTTTTTTTTTTGTAACTACCATTTCTTTGCTGATGTTGTCGGCACAGGGATCATAGGAAAGGATAAAATGGGATCCTCAAGAAACTAATAAGAAACCTTACTAAAGGTAGGTTCTACCTTTTAAGGTAGACTCTGAAGTCAGGGCAATTAGAAAGTCAAAGGAGGGGGAGAAAAACTAGAGTGATAGGGGTACCACAATTACCATAATAATTGAACAGACTGAGGAAGCCAGGGACCGGAAAGACAAGGAAAGCAAGTTCCCTTTGCCTGACGGAATGCAATGGAGATGAGAGACAGCCCCCAAAGAGCTCTTATTTAATATATAAAACACATAAGCACACCCAGGCACACATATACCTACACATACACACATGTACGTATGTTCTCACTTTAATATTAGTGTTATACCAGGTACACCCACGTCCACGTGCCCTCTGTTTGTTTGCTATTGTTCGTACAAGGTCTCACTACACAGTTCGGGCACACAGTGATCCTCCTGTCTCAGCCTCCCCAACCCTGGAATTACAGGCATGCGCTACCATGCCCAGTTTAAGGGATGGCACCGCATGCAGTATCAGGGATCAAACCCAGGTCCTTGAGTTTGCTGGTCAGGTGCTTAGGCCACAGAGCTATCTCCCCAGCCTGCCTCTTTTATTAAGTTCCCTCCCAAGTAGCCCTCTCCCCTTCTCTTCTTTCTTACAAAAGGTCAGGAAGAAGCCAAAGAGGCCAAAGGAATGTAGGCAGACATGCCTAGGTTAGTGTGTAGGCAGCTGAGTTGGATAGAAATATAGACAGTCAGACAGGGCTAGGCCCTCGAAGGAGACAGTATGGAAGACCAGATACCTGGCAACTCTGGGAGAGACAGGCACTCCTGCTGCAGGCCAAACCTCAAGACAAAACAGTAAACACAGTCACACACCTCTCTAGAGATAAAGGTCAGGGATTGATATTCTAAGTAGGTATCCATTACCTTGAAAAAGTCGGGAGTCACTGACCAACTTCCTATAGGAAAAGTCCGGGCAGGGAAATGGCTTAGTCCCTCTTCTGTGTTCCTGCCCTCTTGCTACTTGACTTGCTTCTTCATTTGATCCTGATTTAATTAATTCTACCTGAGTAATTGTGCTTGTAACCTTATTGGTGGATCACAGTTTTGCCGCACCTGTGTAAGATTCCATATTCTCCACCTTAGACCCACCTCACCACATGGTTTTGCTCTACAAAAATTCCTGAGAAGAGGCAGAATCCCTTCCTGTCATCCCACTCGGGTCCCCTTCTGTCCCTCTCTTGTGCAATGGGACAATTCACACTTTAGCTTATAAATGTAAATTTTGTGTTTTCTGTTGTGTAGAAATGTATACTCACTAGTTATTTAGTAACTAGTGGCTGTTACTTGCTGTTTGCTAAGATAAAATTCCTGTAACCCTCACCAATTCCTGTTAACAAAGTTAGATTACAGAGATGACTTCAAAAGGAAATTAAAGGGGCTGGGGAGATGGCTCAGTGGAATAAGAGCTTCTTTGGCAAGTGCAAGGGCCTCAGTTCAATCCCTGGTTCTGCCAAAAAAAAAAGAAAGAAAGAGAGAAATTAAATGGGCTTTATCTTCTTGTAACTTTCGCCTATACAAGGCTGCATGCAAGTACTCAGGTGCAAGATAACCAGAAACTAAAAGAAAGCCCCAGGAAATTTAGTTTTAGTGGTCACAATGACCCTGAAAGCATTATTGTGTGTCAGACAATGAATTCATTTACCAAATGGAGTGTAGTTCCAGGTTTTAAAACTGTACCTGCTTCCTGGGCGAGCCAATCTTATCCTGCCTTTCAGTCTTATCCTGTGTGAGACCCAGGGACCTGAGATTAGTAATAAATGGCTTTCCAAATTCCAATCTGGCTGATCTGGTTCCTATTCTGAGCGACTCATAACATTTTGTATAGCTTTCTCTCCCCCAATAAATATATCCTGCTCTTAATCTCTGTTCCTAAAAGTCATTCTTCAGTTGTAAAGAACACGAACTCATCCCAGGTATCTTTCAGTTGGGAGTTTTATTCCCCTATAACATTAGGACCGAAGACACTCGAGAGAACAAGATCAGATGCTAACAAGTGCCCACCAGGGTGTCAGGAAAGATACCAATCCCTGATAGAAGGAACCAGGGATAAGAACTCGTGGGACTAGTCTGTACTCTCTTTAAATTTTTTTTTTAAATTATCTCCATTAATAAAAAAAAAAAAAAAAGAAGAAGAAGAAGAACTTCTGGACAACCCATGATAGCTGCCTATCCTCTTTTTTTCCTTATTTTTCCAAATAAAAAAAAAAAAAAAAAAGAAGAAGAAGAAGAACTTCTGGACAACCCATGATAGCTGCCTATCCTCTTTTTTTCCTTATTTTTCCAAATAAACCATCTCTTGTGATACTGAACTTTGCCCTTTTTTAGGTCTTTGCTGGCACTGAGTTTAGGGTAGCTGGGAGCTGCGCTTTCAGGAGAGGAGTGGCAAGGCATGACATGGCGACCCGTCCATCCTTGGATATAACAGTGTACCATTACTATCACAGACAGACAAGGGCTGGGCCTTAGAGGAACTCAGTGCGGAGGATGAGAATCTACCAGGTCTGCGAGCAGCATCTGAGGATTAGAGTCGCAAAGGCTAAATGTATATACCTCCCGAAGGGATGAGTGGAGGCCTGAGATTACTGCCATCCTCCTTTTGAGATTTCCCATGACCTCATTTCCATGTGGGTGGGCCACCCTCTCACACCTAAAACTAAGACTGCTAAAGCTAAAGAGAAGATTAAATCAACAGATTATCGACCAAGGTTAATGATGTCACACAAGTACCCTTGCTACCACTGGATCAATATTACCTAAGTGGCTCTACTTGCAATCTCATTGGTTGATCATAATATAATAATAACCAACCTCATGATTTGGCTCTATAAAACTTCCCTTGAGAGGTGGGTTTGTTGGCAACACACTCCAGACCCCTCCAGTCTCTCAGGAACTATTCTTATTACTCATTCCCCAATTCCTGGTCCCCGTTCTTTTTCTCCAATAAATTTTCCTATTCGTAACCTCTGTTGATCCTTAGAATTCATTCTTCTACTTTGGGGGACATGAACTCAGCATATTTGACGTCTAGTACTTTCCCTCTAGTATTACTACAGATATTCAAAGACACACATCTACATTTCCTTGTTGACCTGACAATATCAGTATCATAGATAACTAAGGGATTTAGAAATACTGCAGGCAGTCAGAGCTGAGCCTCAGAAGTCTGGTGCAGAAGACAGCTGTGGCTGGAAGCATATTCACTGAAGCCCAGGCTTCGAGGAAAAAGAGGAACGGCTCACCCATATAC